ACCATTCTACCAGAAGCAGGTGTTGGATGAGAAGGCCTGGCTCCAGTGGTGATAATAGGATCAGAGGTTTAAGAGTACTTAGCACCCATAGAGTTGTCTGGCCAGGGATGATAAACTTCACTGTTTTCTACATACATTTTCTATATTTTTCAAACTTGCGCAGTGCCTTTTACCAATTACTAACTCTATCATTCACCAATGAATCGTATCGGACTTTTGCCAAATACTCGACAAGCAAAGCAGAGAGCAGCATTTTCTAAGAAAAATATTCAAACCATTTAAAGCCTTTGAATCAGTTTTCATGAAAGGCTCTTTTTGTGCCAAACTGAGTGAGTGGGAACTAGGATGGTTATAACTGTTTAGGACAAGTAGACTTATCCCCTAAATCAATAGGCAGATTTTGATATTCTTTGCTTAGGTGGCTGGTCTGTCTTGCCCTGTTTCTCCTGTTCTTCTCTTTCCCTGGTCTGCTCTGTCTAATCTCCATGTTCTTTTTTTCCTTGTGTAGAAAAATTAAGCAAGTGGTAAAGCATAAAGATGATGGAAATGCAAAAAAGCTGTCTTGTTTAGGCAGAAGTCCACTGATATGTTAAGTGTATGGGTGCTTCTAGAAAGCATTTAAGATGGGACGATTATCGAAACAATGTGTTTCAGATTTACTAAGAGATATAGACATTGATTTGGACTACTCTTACATCAATCTGGCTCTTTTCCTGTTTTTTTTATTTTTATTTTTTTTTTTTACAAAAAAAAATCTTGTGTCCATGATGAAGTTGTCAACAGACTCATATGGACACTCTTAGCTTTGTCTTCATGACTTAAGGGGACATTTTTTTTAACTTGCATTAATTTTATGTAATGTAAAAAAAAATGTCCTTTATTGTCCCACAATGGGGAAATTCACTCTCTACATGTAACCCCTCTCCTTGAGGAGCAGGGGGCTGCCATTGTGTGGCGCCCGGGGAGCAGTGTGGGGTCATAAGTTTTTTTCAGGAACCCAGAGTGGAGGCTGCTGGGATCGAACTGGATACTTGCACAAGTGCACTGCTCTAGGCACTAGGCCAGCATATCCCTAAACCTAATCCTAACCTTAACTGAATTAACATCTAAAGCTACGCTCACACCTGAAGCTTCAGAGCCAGCAGAAGCAGCTAGTTTACGTGCAAAGTCAATGGTTGATGTGCATCTTGGCGCAGCAAAAGGTCCAGCAGCGGGTTTAAAGCAGCTGAAGCAGGTAGTCGTGAGCTTCTGAGCATTTGACGCATGCGATGCGCTCAGAGATGGCGCAGAATCTGTCGATTCATCTTGTAGTGGTGCGTCAAATGCAACGTAGATCCCCATCCAATTAGATTGAATTTGGTATTGATGACGTGAAAAATAATAACGGTAACTCCATTGAAATGATTCAAAACTAAAGTAACGAGCCAATTTTTTAAAATGTAAGGAGTAGAAAGTCCGGATATTTGTGTAAAAATGTAAGGAGTAGAAGTAAAAAGGCGCCATAAAAATAAGTAGTAAAGTAAAGTAAAAATATCAGAAAAATCTACTTGAGTAACAGTAACGAAGCAATTGTACTTCGTTACTTCCCATCTCTGGATGCGCTTCAGAAGCTGAAGATGCTAGAGTTGGAAAAATTTAACTTTTGCTGCTCGATGCGCCACATCAAGCAATCAGTGGAGCTGATCTGAAGCTGGCAGGGAGACAGACAAATTGCTTCTCATTCAGATCGCTATGATCACTCCTCTGAAACAGTTTATCTAAATGCCTAGCATTTATTAAAGTACCTGCTGGCCAAATATGTTCAATTTTATTATTCTGGGGCCTGCAGTTTGGATAAATATGTGAAAAACACCTTCCAGCCACTGTTAACACTAGCGGAAAACCACGTAGAGGCAAGAGGCTGCTGTTGAACTGGGTTCCTAGTCACAAAGCTTCAACGGTGTACGGGGGTTTGAGAGGCCCCGACAGAAAAATACTTGAAGACAGGATGGTAATCTGGATAAACTGACTGCACAGACAATGTTTTCAGGTGGACTTTCTCACTTAAAAATAGATTCAAACTACTTTTTACCCACTGATCAGAGCAAATATAGCTCCCATTGTTACAGGCAAAGAAAGGATAGGGTAGCTCGCCCAACGTGTCTTAGACTCACTTTTTCACCACGCAGCCAGAGCAGCAAAGATGCTTGTACAAGTATCAAAAATGAAGCAGCACGCACATTATTGCTGCTGTTGCTGCTTGCGGTCTGAACATAGTGTTAGTCCTAAACGTAACCCCAACTCAAAGACCAGAACGTTACTGCATGGAGTCTATTTGAATGTCCCCATACTGTAGGTATCTGTAATGGCATGTAGGTTTTTTTTACAAAATACTTCCCAATTGTAGGTAAAACAACACCATACACACAGGGGAATTGATAATGTTAATAGTCATACAGTTAGCTTCTCATTATTAGCACTTTTCTAAACACATGCATTTAACAGGAGCTAGCTTCTCTCATTCCTGTTTAAAGCACAGTGGTACTGAACACCTGTAAGATTAGCTAACACCTAAATTAAAACTCATATAAAGAGTAACCTGCGTTTAAGCTCAGCAAACATAAACACTGGTAATCATAGTAGTGTGTTGGTATTAAGTATAAGTTGAGCACTGTGTAACATATCCTGGTTAAAGCTGGACACTAATACCACTATCGCAGGTCAGTCACTCATAAATAAGCCCAAAGTTCTTCAGAGAGCTCACACTGTCTCCCTTCCAGAGTCCTGGAATGATGGATCGAACCATTTCAAAGGTGCAATAGGGTAACATATTTCTTTTTAAACCAAGTGCTGCAACTTGTTTACACTTTTTTAGTTCATTTGTGTTTGTTTTTTATTTCAAAAAATGCATATTGTATAAAAAAACACTTCAGACTTTAGGGTTGCTTTGATTATTAAAGGGGCGCTTCAACACCCACAGAAATTGGGTAAAAACACATATGCTTGGTTCTCAGTTTCCACTCTAATTCCTCCTAAACTTTGTGCAGACCAAACAAGTTCATCCACACCAGACTCTTCCATCCATGTCTTTATGGACCTTGCTTTGTGTTCTGGTGCAAAGTCATGTTTGAAGATGAAGTGGTCAGCTCCAAACAGTTAGTGAGCACCACAATGTTAGGAGCATGGAATTGTCCAAAATGTCCTTTTATGCTACAGCATTCAGAGTTCTTTTTTTATCATAAATAAGGGGCCAGGACCAACTCCTGATAAAAACAACCCCATACAATAATCCTGCCTCCACCAAACTTCACCCTTTGCACATTGCAGTCAGATAAGTACACTGAACCCAGACTCATCCATCAGATTTCCCGATGGAGAAGCTCGATTAGCCACTACAGAAAACTCCACTGTCTCCACTGTTCAGATGTCCAGCAGCGTTGTGTTTTCCCCCCTGGTGTCTGATGCTTTCTATTGCACTTTTTGATGTATGGCTTGTATGCAGTTACCATGGATCATGGAACCCTATCTTCTGAAGCTTTCTGTTCTTCTGTGCGTTCAGCATCTGCTGACCCCACTCAGACAGTTTACGTTACCTACCACTTTGTGGCTGAGTTGTTGTCATCCCCAAACACTTCCATTTTATTATGATACAGCTGACAGATGACTGTGGAATGTTTAGGAGAAACGACATTGTACCACTGGGTTTGTTGCACAGGTGGCCTTCTATCACAGTTTGATGCTGATATTCATGGAGTTCCTGAGAACTCTGTGAATTCTTTCACAAATTTTTGTAACAGAAGTCCTGCATCCTGTTCTTGGTGGGTGATTTTGTACACCTATGGCCAAGGAAGTGATTGAAACAAATGATTCAACTTTGGATGTATGAGTAAATGCTTTGACAATACAGTGTATGTCTCCAGGTATTTTGCTAGCCTTTTGTGATTTATTTTGTTAGTTAGTTTGTTTTCTTAGCTATAAACTGTATGCATAGACCAGTGCCTCTGTGAATAATAGTTTCTCTTTCCTGTGACCATGTGGTCAAAGCAGCTGGATGGTTATCAAGGTCCAGCTCTAAATGTCCTCATTTTTTGCAAAATTGCCTCAAATTATTAGACAGATGATTTTACTTGGCTTAATTGAATAAGAATGTTTTAAAATAACTTTAAATTTGACTAAATTCTGCTTTACTGCATATGAGCTGGCAGTTCAATTTCGTAAAAGAGCCTTTAAGGTGATTTCTTGAAGACTGGTGTACTTGTACTCTTGACTTTAAAGTAGGCCTAGTCAAAAAAAAAAAAAAAAAAACAGAATTTCCTTTTAGGGCTGCTCAGTGGCCAATGTGTAGCAATGCTGCCTTGCAGCAAGAAGGTTCTGGGTTCGATTCCTGGCCTTGTGTCTTTCTGCATGGAGTTTGCATGTTCTCCCTGAGCATGCGTGGGTTCTCTTTGGGTACTCCAGCTTCCTCCCACAGTCCAAAAAAGTGACTGTTAGGTTAATTGGCTTCTCTAAATTCTCCTTCGGTGTGTGTGAATTGTTGTATGTCCTGGTTGTCTCTGTGTTACCCTGCGATGGACTAGTGACCTGTCCAGAGTGCACCCCGCCTCTCGCCCATTGACTGCTGGAGATAGGCACCAGCACCCCTCGCGACCCCAATCGGGACAAGCGTGTCAGATAATGAATGGGTGGATTTCCTTTTATCTCTATTTTCGAAACAAAATGCATCAACTTGAGTTACTCAGAAACTGCCACTAGATGGCGAAATTGGAATGAAATCCTAAACCTTGCTGTCTGCTCCTGTTTGATTTAAACGATTACGCAGGTAAGCATCTTAGAATGCCCTGATGCACAAAATCAACATTAAAACAGAACAGTCTGATGCAAGCATTTTTACACACAGAAACACAGACTGTTAAAAGGAGAAGAAAAAAACATCTTAACACATTTTTGCCAATGGAAAAAACGGGGCATCGCCACTCCCCTTTATGCGCGCCTGGTCTGCGCGCGCGCATGTGAGCGCAGCAGGGTACAGTTTCACTGACAGTCAGTCATATCCACCTATTATCACCCATCCATCTGATCAGACTCCCGCATATCAGCGCCTTATCCATGCCTGTTTCTTGCCAGGTGGGTTCTTCATTGATAAGTGGGGAACGGTGACATCCTCACTGGCCTTCCTGCTTTCCTGAGAAGGTGAAGCAGCCTTCTTATTATCACCGTTAGCCGCTATGAGACGACTAACGGGAAAGGCGAAGGAGGAAACTTTGATCGAGCTGCACAGCGCCTCGGATTCTCAGCTCACAGGTAATAACACAAACATACCGCCACTGCCCCTCATAAAATCGCAGATATATCGTGTTTGATCTAATTAAAACGGAAACATTTGCGAATAAGGCTGCCATGCTTCCTCCTCATCAGATGAAGCAGCGCATACAGTATAAGCTGCACGCTGCAGTAGTAATCACCAACCTACTACTGAGCTTTATGTGCTCCTATGTTAACATGAGGATGCCTCATTATATAAACATTGGCCAGAACATTCCTATACAATATATTATTAATATAAATTGATTTATTTTCCTAAAAAAAGAAAGGTTAAATAAATAAAAAAAATATACTCAGAGATCAACAAGTACACATGTTTTAATGAGACTGAACTTTTCCCAGACAGGGTGGTACTTGTGTTAAAGCATGTTCATTTTACATGGAGCCAACTTCTTTATGAATTTATGTTCAGCCCTGTTATAGTTTTGTTTTATTAAAGCTATCAATTACAATAGTGCTCTCAAAACCTTTGTTAAGGATCACTGTGATCAAGTGGGTCAAAGGACCCATTTGATCTCTTTGCTTTAAACAAAGTTGCAAAAAGGGCAACATAACTTAGAAAAGTCTGCTGACAAATACGTATGTTTCCTTCCTTAAACTGCTGCATGTTTCCAACATCATTGCCTAATCCAAGGTAGTCAGTGGATTTAGATGAATTATTAATGATAAAATATTTATGGATTTATCTATGTTTATGTTTTTTCAGACATTCGTGTAGTTGACTTACTAGATTATTGAATATATTTTAGATAATTTAGATAAACACTGACAGAAGTCTGTCAGTTACTATCAGTCAAGATTAAACAGAACCTCTGATTTCTTGTGATCTGTAAATGTGATAACTGACCGCTGGATTTTAGTTTGTCATCAGAAACAGGGAAGTCATTACGTTTGAGATGTTGAAACTTCATGAATCTTTTGTAAAGTATGAATCAAACTGACAATGGAGAAGAGAAACTGTAATCTAAGAAATGTTACTAAGAATTTTAACAATTTAAGCCATAAAAGCAGATTAGTTTGATTAAAGGAATATACATATCTGAAACACTTAACCTTTTGATTTGATAACAGTTTTTATCCAAATTTTAAAGTCTCAACATAATTCTACTGCATGATTTTTACTGGTAGATTAAACTCCAAATCTAGGTTGCTAGGACACAAAAGTTGTGTCTTGGCAAATTTCAATTTGAAATTAGCTTTCATTCAGATAAGCTGAGTGATAAGTGAGAGGAAAAGTATGACACAACGAGAAAATTAAAATAAAACCGCTGAAACGTTCCTATTCCTTTTATGCTGCTCCAAAATTCTTGATATTTTAATGATAATGCACCGATACAGTGTTGTGCTCTATGACAGGCCTCCCCAACCTTGGTCCTCGAGGGCCGCTGTCCTGCAGGTTTTAGAGGTTTCCTTGCTCCAGCACAGCTGATTTTAATTGAAAGCTGATTAACAGGCTTTTGGTCTACTGCAATCATTATAATCAGCTGTGCTAAAGCACGGAAACCTCTAAAACCTGCAGGACAGCGGGCCTCGAGGACTGAGGTTGGGGATGCCTGCTGTATGGGCTCAACTCATGCACGGACAGATCACTACTGCCTCTCTGCATTTGGGTCCTCAAAGCCTCCACCCCAATTGTGCCACTAGTGCTGCTTTAAGGTGGAATTTCAAAATATGTGACCAGCAGAGCTGCTGAACATATCTCTGCAATTTCCTTGAGGTACTTAATAATACCTTGTTGCATTCAATGTAATGTCAATGTAAACCAAATTCTCTTTACCTTTGTTGTTCAAACAACCCAAACACACCGAATGGTGTAATATTGATCATCCATTTGGGCTTTCTTGCTGCTGCTTCGCAAGATGCAGCATTGATGGTTTTGACCTTATTTCACTAATAGCTTTCTTCTGGTAACACATGCATCCATCTTCTTCTACAAGTGCCTCCTTACTATGTACCTTAAAGCAACTATACTGTTTTTTAATTATTTTTATTTAAAGTGGGGAAGGTTAGCTTTAGAGCCCATTTGAACCAGTGTGTATTAACTTGTTTGTACATTATTAGTGTACAATAAAGATTTTTTAAAGATTTTTTTAAATAATGGTTTCAACTACCAATACTTGTTAAGAGCAGAAATGTTAATTATCATTAATTTTCTTAGACAGGAAAAAAGGAAAGCATTCACTGTAATGTGGTTTTTTACTCAAACAGTGGTATTCATTGAGGTTGATTTGAGGACTAGCTTCAATAAATCTTGATTGTAGATTGTAGAAACTGATTTAGCTTTTAAAGAAAATTAATGTTTTTTTAATGTAATAATTCCATATCTTTCCAGTATTAGGAGCCCTAAATTTAAACTTTGCGATTTTTTCTTGGTATGCATTATGTTTAATGTTTTGTGTTTTGTTTTTCTTACTAAATTTACTTTTTTTGAAATGATTAAATATTATTGGTATTTCATATTAATTTGGAATATTTGTATATTTAGCTATTGTGGTTTAAGGATGCATATGTGTCACTTTTTAAAGATGATGCATCATGGGAGTTTTGTGTTTGTATATCTCACAGAGTGGAGCCAAATGCTTTTTTGACTTCTGTCGCCCTTTTATTTTGTATGTATGTTCAGCACCACTTTATTCTATCTACTCTCTAAAACGTTTTTAAAAGCAATAACATCTTAGTGGATTTCTTGGACGAATCATCTGAACAACTTGTGTTTGGAAAAGTTAAGGACGCAGCGAGTCAGGCCGGCTCCACTTATTTTTGAACCCTACACCGGTTATATAGATGTAGGTAGATATAGAAGAATATGCAAGCCATAGTTGAGGTATTTTTTTCTTTGTTAGTCCCATTGGCATGATAAACTATAATAACATCCCCAGAAGGATTCAGGTTTTACTTCTATGGTTTCTCTAGAATCTCAGTAAATGTCCACATAAGCTCTGCATTAAAGGTCAGCATGAAATATACAAAACAAAGAAACTGTATTCCCAGCTCTCCTGGGGAATCACTTGATGTTCAGGCAGCACAATCAACTCCTAACTCAATATTTCACATTTTATTTACCATCCATCTAATGGTGTAATTGCTAGTAGAAAGAGGTTTTTCAATTATTGTGGGTGAGCTGTGAGGTAATAAACTATTCTTGCTGTGCAGAGGCTTTGTTAAGGCTCTTATCAGGACTACCCTTCAGGAACGTGTCAAAGGGTAAACACAGAGGAGAGGAAAGCCTCTATCTTCATGTTTATTTCTAGTGTGTTACCTTGTTCACAGCTGTTCAAACAGTGATTCATAGACAATCATGACTATATACTTGATACACAGTGTACTGACTAGTGAGCACTTAATTAACTGGGGTAATATTCTGGTAAATCGTACATAGATAACTCTTTTAACTTGATGTCACCCAAATTGAAATATTAATAAACTCAAAGGCTTTTTATGTTACAATCCCAGATTTATTGCACCATCATGAAGTGAAATACATTAAGTGGCCTTCTTCTTCAGGTGATTCTGACCATTTGTTATTTACAGTAGGCTACAAGCTTTATATTCATTTGAGGTGATCTCATGTGGTGTATATCACATAGACCATGACGTGATCTTGTCAGAGGTGAAGCAGAGTACAGGAGTTGCTATGGAAACTGGACTTGTAATCGCATTATCCCATTAGACAGAGGTACGATATAAGATGAGACAGCAAAAGGAACCAAATCCCATCTGCTTAGGCAACCACAGATAAAAGGTCTGGATTATCTGGTTAGATTTTCGACTTGAGTAAAAGAAATATAATCCAAGGGTTAGGAAATGTAATCCAAAGTAATTTAATGGTTTTTCGGTTTCTAGATTTACCACAGTCTTAATACAGATTAAGTAGACCCTAATAGTGTGCATTGGTTTCAAGTTTAGCGACGGTTTTGAAAAGTCAAGCATTTATCATAATCTGATTACTCTAAAAACTATGTAAAAAAAAAATTATCCTAGAAACCGACTGAACTGAAAACCCAAAGAGGGTACCATGTTTTTTGAAGCTGCATGAAGTTCTTAGATTGGCAATATCGTGACCTCATGTTCAGTTTTTAGAAAATATTAATATTATTAATAGTTATTAAAAGAAAGAAAACAAAACATTCAGAAATGGTGGATTAGGGAAACCATTTATATGTCATGCAGAAAACAGGTGTAACATTTTCATGTATATTTCCTTCTACATTAATTAAGTCCTTCTTCAATGCATAGTGCCATGCAGGCAAGCCACTTACTGTTCCTCTAAGGTGGGTTCAAAACCCAAGTTTGTTTGCAACTGGCTTTAAATACTTCTCGATGTAGTTTGCTGAAGAGCTCAGTGACGCCTTTTATTTTTGACATTGCCTCAGCAGTGTAGTCAAAGGACAAGTCCTTCCTGAAAATAAATCATAATTATATACTTGTTATAAAACCTATTAGAGGGAATGATGATTGAAGGATGAAATACTTAGAAATCTCCTAACAATCAGCTGTTCTTACTTTAGACAAAGCAGTGCACCAACAATAGTAGATGACATGTGTCTTCAAATCATCACTGTGGAAACTTCATAGTAGCTACACCTGTGTGTGCAAAATTTCCCCGATCCGATCTAAACCTTGGTTGATCGAAGATTCAAAATCTTTCTTTACATGGACATTAAATAAGTTATCCGATCATGATGTTTGTATACCTGCAACAAGGGTTCGATCCGATTAAATAATTTAAATATGCATGGAAATGTCAAATTTGAATGAAAAATGGCAAAAAAAAGATATATACTGACATCTCACACATCAAATGTGGACATTATTTTACTTCAGAAAAAAAAGTTCTCTCTTTCTTGACAAAATTTCTTTCCAATCATATAAGATTAGAATCATCACTGACATGTTTACATGAAGCATTTTGGATCTTATCAGGCCTTCAATCTGATTATTTACATCCATGTAACCAGGACCTACTGGACCTCCAGGAACTCCTGATGTCTCTGGTTTAATACAAGGAACCTGATAGTTGTAAAGCAAAATCATGGATTCAGCTGTTTGTAATGACTCTTAAAGCACTGAATAAAGCTGCAGCCGAAACTTCATGAATCTCTAAAAAAAAAAAAGTCTGGAATGGACAATACTTAGACTTAGACAGACTTTATTGTCATTTTGTACACACAGAGTGTATTCAAAAATAAATTTAGTTTATCACAGCTCTCAAGGCATTTCCATTTCTAAAGCTGCAGTAGTCATAAAATGTAAATACTAGTGTTGGACCGATGCCGATACCAGTATCGGACGGGGCGCCGATACTGCCCTAAAATGGTGGTATCGGTATCGGCAAGTACCAACAAATAGAGCACCGATACCATTTTGAGAGCCATAAGTTTATTCAACTATTGTCACCCACTCCTGGTAGGCAATACAAAGTTCTACTGGATTCACTTTGTATTAGAGTTTTTCCTGCTTCACAAAGGTAGGCAGCAGCTTAACAAAGCCATGATGGCAATTATTTTACATTATTATGGTATCGGTATCAGCCAGGTATCGGGTATCGGTATCGGGGCCAAAAAATGGCATCGGCGCAACACTAGTAAATACTTCACATTGCATGTGCCAGTTTCCTTCAACTAAACATTATTATTCACAACACTCTGTGAACAACCAGACACAAAAGACTTTTTGCTTGACAATTATTTATTCCATATGCAACTTCCACTTTGTTTTGTTGGCTATTGCAAGACAATACCAGTATTTATGTTAAAAATATCTGTAAATATGACTTTGCAATACACTTAGTGTTGGATTTTTATTTACTGTAAATTACAGCCCTTCAAATGAACACCCATCCATCCATTTTCTGACACGCTTAATCCCAAGTGGGGTCGCGAGTGGTGCTGGTGCCCATCTCGATGGGCGAGAGGCGGGGTACACCCTGGAAAAGTCGCCAGTCCATCGCAGGGCAACACAGAGGCAAACAACCATTCCTGCACATACTCACACCTAAGGAGAATTCAGAGAAGCCAATTAACCTAACAGTCATCTTTGTGGACTGTGGGAGGAAGCCGAAGTACCCGGAGAAAACCCACGCATGCTCAGGGAGAACATGCAAACTCCATGCAGAAAAAGAATTGAACCCATGGCCTTCTTGCTGCAAGGCAGCAGTGCTACCCACCGCGCCACTGAGCAGCCCTAAAATTTTATTACTAAATTTATAAATGACTTTTACTTTTTTAAAAGAATGACTACATAAAAACAAAAGAAACATTTCAGTGACATTTTATATTTATTTAGATTCAGCATTCGATCCATTTACCCTTAGGTCAGATCCTATTCCATTGTTTATATCTACCTTGAATTGTTTGCTTTGGATTTATTGATAAAAGGCTATCACATTAAAGGCCACTAAAGTGTGTTTTTATTTATCTGTCAACATAGAAAGCCTTGAATCCTGCAGCAAAAACATGTCTGGTCCAGAGCAGCTCTTTCCTCTTGTAGTAACCAACTAAAAGCAGAAGGATTCTGCTGAATTCTTGCAATTACTTTAGACGTGTGATTTAAGGTTTGTGTCATAGGTTGTGTAAACCTGTTTTGTTACAATGCTTTTTCTTCAGATGCTCCCTGACTCATGTTAGAGCTATATTGTGATGCATGAAGATGGTATTCTATCCTTTCTATTGTTAACTTCCTCTGTTTCTGAATAAGTCAAGATGTCAAATAATATCCTGATGATAAGACAGGAAACATTTTTTTATGTGGTTCAACTAGGATGCATTATTTAGACTGCTTCCATTTTTTTTTTTTTTTGCTTATTTATCAAAGTTTTATCCATTCTTAAGGGTTAAAATCTCTACTGTTACCTATTTCACTGCCAGTGAGTATACATCTGCATAATTTAAACCTTCAATCATACTAATTACTAACCTTACTAATTTAAATAAATGTCTTTTTGACTTGAGACATTTATCTAACTTTCCTTGTGAACTCAGTAAGAAGACATAGCAGGAAACGTGGTGTGTGAGATAGAGATGATGTCTTGTCAGAGAAGACACGGGACTGGGTTGAAACTCAGGATGTGGTGGCTTCGCTTTGACACATGGCACTGCACTGTCTGCTAGACTATCAGGACTTACTGGTTGTCATAAGTGTTTGAATATAAACATGTTTGTTTGAATGTAAACACTTATGACTTGTGGCCTTTTTAGTGGTTTCAATATCATTTAAGAAACAGAAATCATTTCACTTTTGTTTTATGTTTATTCAAACTAAAAAAATAAAAATCTATTTCTTATTGATATATGCTTTCCTGCACTTCATACTACTGTGAGACCATTTGGGATTAGTTAAAGCCCTGCTTAGATTGAAGTTGTAGAGCAACATGTGACATGTATTCCCACCTCCCCTTGAGAGAAGTAGCCTATAATGTTATCTGTCATCTGTTGCTGTGATTACTTAAACCACATGTATTGTTGTGCAAAGAATTATGACTCTCTGAGGCCATAAAAAAGGAAGAGCTGGTTTGAGTGAAGTAAGCCGGTAGGCCTAGTGCTTTTTATGAATAACAGACACCTACATATCTACTGTAGCCTGAGTCATAATGAAAAATGTTGGTACCCACTCAGATGTACACAACATGCTCTAAAGTGAATAAAAGTGCTTATCAGATGCTTTTTAAACTAAAATTTAAATGGAAAGGTACCTTTTCCAGTTTAATACTACTTCCTAACTCATTTCTATCTATTCTTTGAAGATGGTCCTGCTGTGCTGACTGCATTCAGGATAAACTTACCCTCAGGTACGGCTGATCGGAGGCTTTATGTCATGCGTTACTGTTTGTTCTATTGCCATCACACATTGTCGTTTCGCCTTCTATGCTCCGTTGACACGTCTTGCTGAACTCTCATCTTTGTCGGCCTTATTGCTCTCTTTTGATGCCTTATTTCAAAGACATTTAGGTCACGGAGATACAGATATCTGCATGTATGCCTGCTTTATATCAGCCTCCATAATTTAGCTACTAGTTGTATCAGGTCATCTGTCCTCTGTTTGTTTGTGCTGCCTGCTGTATTTACAGCTAAATAAACCATGCATGAACACTCACACCCAAACTTAAAGTACAATTTCCAGTGATTGCTTGATTTAATAATAAACCATGATTAGCTTGACCATGCACCCAGCCGGATTTAAGCATCCTGCAATAGTGCAGTGCTCTTCATAACATTGCAATCCTGTCTTTATATTCTTAATAGTCTTCAAAACAAAAATCCCGTGTTTTTTTTGGCAAACATTAAAAATTAAAATAAAAGCACAAGAATAGATGTTCTTTAATCGTAAGCACAAGAAAAGTCATAAGTTCCGCATTTATTACTTTTTTTACAGTTAAAAACTAAAATGTTAGAGTTCAATGAAATTATTTTTAAGTGTGGCTGTTAACCTTATAGTATATAGTTTCACCACTGCTATGAACCCACATTGCAATGTTTATTTCCATAGAAATTGATTAATTTCACAAATTCATGTGATGTAGACTAATAAATATATTAACATCAACATGCAACTTTAACTATAGAACAAGTTTAACTGGAGGCAACCAGACTTCAGCTCAGATTTTCTGAAAACCATTCATTAACCATTCATTAGTCTTTGTCAATCCTAGGGCCTAACACAGATCTAATATTACACCAGCTTTGTTCTCAATATCAACAATAACTTAGAGAAGAAGATTTAATCTCTGATTTTTTTCCTACTAAATCTGATTAATCATTTTATTTTTCTAACTTATGTTTCATAAAAAAATGCCATATATTGCTTAATATAGGTGACAACAAAATTCAAGCTGTGAAACATGCTTGCAAAATAACCAGGTCTTACAAGAAACACTGAAAATAACCTTGAGTTTATTAGTTGTGAGTAGACATTTAGAAACAAAATGTTAATATTGTAAAATTCTGAAATTATATAATATCATAACACAAAAGTTTCATTTAGTTTTATTTTATATGCCTGGTTATGACATGGCTTTATGTATAAAGATGCAAAAACAAAACAACCAATAAAGCATTTGCTCGTTCGACTTTTGAATCACTGCTTGGGTTCAGACAACATCTAGATTTGCTGCAGTCATTCTAGCTTTTACAAAATCAGGAGCATTAAATAGAAATTTCAGATGTATTTTCTTTTACATTCCTCAATAATACGTATATAACTGTCAACTTACTGAGAATTATTATATTCTTAACCACTACAATGAGATGTGCAGGTCCTGCAGCTCATTTGTTTCGCACCAGTTTCTCTCATCCACATTATATCGATCTACATTACCCCCTGAAAAAGTTTCCTAATGTCCTCCTGAAAACTGTGGTAATTTCTTTCTCATTTGTCAACATTTGCCATAATGAGCTGCAGCAGATATACTTCTTGCAGAATAACACAGCTTGAGGTAAAAACATAATCCTGTTCATTGCATGTGCTTGCAATGGAAGTTGGCAAAACCCACTATAGAACACAGTCCATATCACGTGAACAGAAAGACCAACAGATGACTCTATAAGTAACAGTTCTATTTGACTTTTTTAATAAGGTTAAATGTATTAATAAGAATATAACCTGAATCACTAAGCGAGGCCAGTGGCAGATGAGAGGCTACAAAACATGGAAAATCTACAACATGCAAAGAGGATCAACCTTCTGAAAAATATACAAGAGCCAGAGCAACATGATCAAAGAATTTATGAGAGAGAGAGAAATGACTAACAACAATTCGGACTCAGATAATTAGAAAGAAGCTGTACAATCTGAGCAAAACAATCAGTGGAATAGAAAATATGGAAGCACAGAGGGGAAAAATGTAAATAAAATATAATTAATATAATTGAATCAGTCAATATTTCTAAGTAATTGATGTGATAATTAACATTATTCTAAATTGCAGATGTACCATGGGAGTACATGGCCATGTAAATACAGCAGTTGCTGTAATGAGAGTCAGTAGGCTGTGAATTTGAACAATTCTTGTGTGTTCGAGTAAGTGTAACTGTAAAAAACAAGGAAGTTAAAACTGAAAGTTGTTGACAGTCTTGCTGAATATTTATTTCAATAATTAAGCTGCTGCTGCACTGAATCAGTTCTGATGCTATATGTGCTAAAATGTAAAATGAAACCACTAAGTATGGGACCAAAGATACCACATTACATTTTCCTCCGCTATGGTTCTACTCAGAGGCTTGATGGATTTGCTTATGCTGACCACAGCCGCTTCATTCAGTGCAGCAAATCAGCTCCCTGTTGTTGTAATTTATATCCTGGCACAAGTGACCTGCTCTGAAAATCCACTGTAGAACTTTTCCACTGAAGTCTTAAATAATTCAAAGTGATTTAAGAGTTTGCTGATTACGATTATACTCTTATCACTCTGGTTATTTTAGTGAATCTGATGTAACATTTTTGTTATTCATATTGTTTCATACATAGTAAAAATAGCAACTTTAATTGAAGATTTCAAGATTGAGCCAGGATTTTGGAAAAAACAAAAATATAAAATAAAAAAGGTTAACAGTTATAAGTGTTCATCTCCTTTTTTACTCTAAAAGTAAGATTTACTCTAAATGGAAGAAAAGTTTATCCCAAATTCTGACTTTGCTTACCATTGAATTTACATTTTTTAGTGTTACATGACCGCCAAGGGACAAATTGATAGAAGCAAGGCTGCTGTAGACAGGCAACACCATCAATGCAAGATAATCGTCATCCCCAAGGATTCGAATCATCAACCCTCAGGGGTTGCAGCCTACATTACATCCTGCATTAGTTACTGTGCAGAATGCACATGCATTTGAATAGATAAGAGTTCCCAGAAAGGTTTGAATTCTAGGAAAAACTCTACTAATTGTTTTTGTTAAAAATTGACACTAAATAGAGTTTCTTGAATTTAACTGAGTAGATTAACACCAGCTCTTTGAATTAAGTAACTCCTGCAAAGGTGAATTCGACTAAACAAGTGTAACTTGCGAAACTGCAACACCAATACTGTAACACTTATCATTATGATGTGAAATCAATCCTGATAACAGCCATAATTTGAAAAGAGATTTGAAGTGGAGTCGGGGTATTCTGCTCTTTATTTTCGTTTATGATCTTTGTATACTACGTGAAATAAAAGAGTAAATTAGTGTTTTGCTTTGGGTCTGGGATTAGCTCTGGGTCTGAGAAGCACTAAATGAAGTCGTTTCAGCAGAACCCGTATTGATCTTTAATTAGTTAATAACCTGAGCCTTTGGTGGAAGGAAACTCTTCAGAAAATAGATCCAAAAACGACATATTTTGAGTGGAAGAACAAGACATTTGATAAATTAAAAAATAACTCTCCATGCTGTTTTTTTCTAAGTGAAGGACGCAACATTTAACTGGAAATTTGTTTATAACAAGAACAAGAGAGAAACAATAATGAGAGAACCACACATAATAGAAGCAAATCATACAAGAATTAAAAAATGAGGCACTAAAAACAATATAAACCGAGTATGAAAGAAACCATGAAACAGAAAAGCCCTAAAAAACTGAGAAATTCATGGATCCCTGGGTACCTTTCAATACTTTAACAACACATTCTGCATTTACCTGTTTTTCATAGTTTGTTTAACCTTTTAACAAAAATTGTGTTTCATTTTTTGTTGCTTCTTTGCCAGTAATCCCTTGACATAAAGGTTTTAATCTCCATGAAATTACATCCAGTTGATAAATAAACAAATGGGTGATAGAAAAATAGCAATCTTGACACTGTGTGATTTCCCTCTTAATGGAGCTCTAATGCTGAGTGGTAATGTCTTTCCAATTACTGACCTTTCAGATGAAACAAATTACACTATAGATCTTATTTTTACAGCTCTTTTGCAACAATAATATGCTTTTAGCTCACTAACTCTGTGAGGGACACACATTTATCTGTTCAGATCTTTATCTGAGACTACCTAGTTCATTCTAATACCCACAGACTATAGCTCCAACACGTTCCAAAAAATGCTCAGATAGCCAAACTGCAATTTATGACCCAGCTTGTGTTTTGGTAGGCCTGGTTTCAACAACACACATAGCAACGCTGAATGATGCATTTTTAATGAAAGCCAACAAGACAGTGAAACGGCCTTAGTTAGTCTCATAAAAAAAAAACTCATTTGAAGCTAATGATTAAAAATAGTTTTCCCAAAACACCAGCAAAACCAAGCAAAGCAAATATAATCTGTCCTACCTTTGCTATTTTTTTTTTTATCAAAAGATTTTTTCATTGAATAAAAGCCAGTTTGTGGAATATTTTCAACCATTATCTTATTTTCATTAAAACGTTTCGTCTCTGTATTAAGGCACAGCTGCATGCCCATATTTGGAAACTGTATCTGTGCATAAATCATAAACACCTCTGCTACTCTGGCGTGTGTTTTGCTGGAGCTTTTTTTCTATCTTAAATTGGTGCATATCATTGGATTCTGTAGAAGATGACCTTTCCAAAGAGGTATGAAGCTCACTTGTTATTGCTAGGTGATCCTGTCCAATTCGGATTTAGGGTTTATCTGAATTCTCAGGGTCAGGCAGAGGCTCAAAGCCTGGTATTTCAAGACAAGCAGGTATATGTATGGCAATAAGAGTTACTGCAAAGAAGATGCAGGTTATTTACTATAACAATTTGACTGAAGCAAAATAATGGCCTGAAGCTGTGCAGGAAGAAGACCTGCCCTAAGGGCATCTGAGGTGACATAAAATTTTCATTGCTTAGCTTAGTAGTTGCAGTATGACAGACAGGAGTTGCCGCTCAATTTATTCAATTATAATGACGAAAATCTTGGGGTAGCGTAGCAGTTTCTCTAATCTTATTGTCTTAACTTTAAGACAACACCTACAATTTAATTAGTAAGAAGTTGTAAATAAGTGGTTGAATTTTCTTTAATTCAATTTAGAGCAATTGGAATTTGTTTGAACTAATTCAAAAAGCAAATCAAAGATGTATATAAAACATTTTTGTTAAACAGTGTTTTAAAATCAGCACCCATTTAAAATCTTAATATCATGAAATCAGTATTTTTTAAGGAATAACAGAACAGAGTTTTAAAAATTGAGGCAGACAGATGTGTTTGAAATTGTCTCCTGTGATTAATCAGTAGCAGCAATACTGGGAGCTTACTTTACTTCAGAATGTCTTAAAAGCATTGTTACCTGGGAGTAATAGTACCATGAAAGTGTATAATAATGCTTGCATAATTTAACAATCACAGAGCAAACAGAATGGATAAATGATCTGGGCTTTGAGCAAATGAACTAGAGGCTTTCATACAAGGTCGATTCATTTAGGCATTTCTCTGCACTTTATCTGCCCCATCAATCTCTTTTTTATTTCCATTTTATCCTCTAATCTGGTCCTCTTTATCTTTGTTTGAGTCTTTCTTTATCCTTTTTTCCAAACTGAGAGAGGCCAATCAAACTGTGAGGACTTTAGATTACTTCCATTTGTCCTTACTTTGCATCCTTCAGCTTTGAGAGCAGCCTTTAGCCATGCAGAAACGCACTAGCGATTTATTGGGTAAAAATGCATTTTAAGAACTAGCCAGATAAGCCTGGAATAGATATAGATAGTCACTTATGGCCAGCCAACCCCTAAAATGCAGCTATTTTGTTCTTCTTTGTTGGTAATAAAGTTTCCGGTATTGCCTCCAGGTCTTTAATAACATTTTATCTTTTATGGTTTATATCCAAATTCCAAGACACTTTTCCACTTTCCAGAGTAGAGATGCCACATAAATCTAATATTTAAATTTCAAACAACTGCACTTTGTTTAGGCTGAACCCTGGAATGGTCTCAATAGCAGAAAATAGAATTCTGCACTTTCTCATATATAACATCCTTTTTTTTCATACATTTTTTTCATAAATCACATCTATGAATTAGTCTTATACTTCAATCAACACACACACACACACACACACACACATATATATATATATATATATGTGTGTGTGTGTGTGTGTGTGTGTGTGCGCTTCACTTGATGATGTTAAGCTTGAATACTGTTTAGAAACGCGCTGCATTAAGTTTTTTGGTGAGATGTTATTGAGCTGCTTCATAATGTTGCAGTTGGGAGGTCTATAGCTACCCCTGTTTTCTAAACATCAGGCTCTGCTATTATTTAGCCTGGAGTACTACTTTGTGGCTAAGTTGCCATCTTTACCAAGATGCAGAAAGACGGTCACAGCTTGTAAGTGCTCTAATGCTGCAAAAGCCTCAGCAGTTTCTCTCATGGATTTGTTGTCTATCTTTGCCTTTTAAGATAAGCTTATTAGAACTCATAACATTGTCACCACCCAGGTGAAAGGTTTGTCTTTTATTTCTTCACAGTGAATAAGACCAACTAACTTAGAATGTTATAAATTTAATATGAGCCTTGAGTCTCTACCAAGAATAGCAAGTGAGGTTTGGTACTTTGGAAGATTTGTTACATGTCTAATGATGATAATTAAAAAAACTTTTAGCTCCCTACATTAGCAGTGATTTGATCTATATGTTATATTGAAATAATTTGAGTATTTAAAACAAGCAGGGCTTTAGTATTTCTTTAGAAAGTCATAATAGAGGTAGAGTAAACCTAGTGTGTCAATTTGCCTTTTACAGGGCAAATAGAGCAGCTTACCTTTTTAAATCAGTTATTTCAGCATATGTCTGTCTATCCGTCTGTCTATCTATCACTAATTCAGTTGGCCTGATGAAAGTGGGTTGGAAAATAAGGGACATGAGACTTATGCTGGTGAAGATTCTCAGTCATCCAGGTCATAGTCATTCCAAAAAAGTAAAAAAAACAAAACAAAAAACACTGGATTTTGTTTCCAGGTTTGAAGACAATATAGCTCCCATCCAGGAAGCTTTTTCAAATCAAAATGTGACTTACGTGGCACTTAGTTTAACATTTGGGATTTACAGATAATTTAAAATTATATTAAGTTATCAACTGAACTGATCAAATGAATATATAGTAGCTAAACTTAAAGTTAAACTTGTCTTTAAGTTTCTGTTTAAGTGCCCTGGTTAGTTTCATCTCTGCAGATTTACCACATATTCAGCTGGCCTTTTGCTCTTGTTTGCTCTAGCCAGCCTCTGATAGCTGCCAGCGTGGTTGGAATAAGGCCAAAAAAACAGAGACAAAAAAGAAATGAGGGAAAAGGCTTCTTGGAAGAAAGTAGAATTCAGACCAAGAGCCAGTCACTCCTCCCTCAGGTTTCTTGAAGTACTGTTGCTTTCTTTAGAGAGGCTGTAACTTATAATCATATTTCCATTCCTTTTTAGTAAGTCGTAAGGCCTTAAATTGAACCTTCATGACCATCTCTGATTCATTGGCCGACCTTACTGTTTAAATAAAAACTGCCTGCCTGTGTAGCTGGCTCAGAGCAGCAAGAGCCTGTCGATGTATGTGTTCTTCCAGACTTTGTTTGCTTCACATGGAGGTCAGTCTCGTGATACAGCAACTGCAGCAGCAGCCTCAGCCTCCGGCTCCTCCCACTCTCCAATGTCTTCATGCAGCCTCCCCCACAGGAAGTGCTGCCTTTCCCACCATTGGGCAGAGCAGCGCTTCATGAGCAAATTCCCCCTTCTATACTCAGCCATGCAGGCAGAGGGAAGAGAGCTGTGTGTCATTGTAAAAAAATCTTTGTGTGTTTATGCTGTGGTCTTTGGGTTACTCATCACTCTTCAAGCTAAGTGCTTGCTAAAATAGTTAGCTATTTTTCCTTTTTTAATTCAGGTTGTCTTAGACGAAAGTGGATTATCAGACTGATTTTATGTGAACATTAAAATATCCCAGCCCGTTCCATATCCAGCACAGTCATTATTCAAGCTTCTCCTGGCTTAACTTAATTACTACTTATTTAGGCTTAGGCTTATTTTACGCTGCATGGGAAATGCACTTATTTTGGTAATTGTTATTGGGTGTAGCTGTATGTAAACAGGAAAATAGAAATATTGTTTGTGAGGTCAGTTCTGGGTTTTGTTTATGTTATTTCCTGTCCAAACTTCAAAACAATAAGAGGTCATCAGAACCTTTCCACACAAAGGCTCCATTGACCAGCTCTTGTTCTCACTATAGCATACGCCTTGATATCAAATTAAAGGGTCCTGGGTCCTTGAATCAGTGATTATGAAGTGGCATAGAGCCCTACTTATGGACTGGACAAGGGCATATGTTTATCTTGCTGGAGTGTATAATGAGCAAGACAAAGAAGGTGATTAAAGACCTGTCAAAGTTAATTGTTAGCAAAATAGCTTGAGTTTAGAGTGGGATTTTTGGGGTCACTTAAAAACAACAGGGCAGCTCAATGTTTGGGAGTGATGCATTTTACATGGTTTGCAAAAATAATACTAGCTGTTTTATCAGCTACATAAATTCTATATTCCCTTCGAAAGACTTGCAAACTTCCAGATTAGCCTATTGCTAATACTTTTTTTTTTACTTTGGACTTGAGAAATCATCCCTCCATCATCTACAATTAGTACAAAACTGCTGCCAGGCTGTTCCAGGTACCAGGCAGTTTAAACCCATCACTTCAGTTTAGTTGATTTACACTAGCTGTCTGTGCATTTCCAATAGATTAGGATTTTTTTTACTCACATTTTTAAATTTAAAAGGCTCTGAACCCAATTATTTAACTGTTTTACTGAACTCTCAAAACCCAAGAAGACCACTGGGATCTTTCAGCCCGAAACCCTTGTCTGTGACATAAATTACCCCTTGATATTTCTTCCACAGTCTCTACAGTCTTTGAAATAAAACAAAATAAATATAATTTAAGACCACCAGAGCAGTAAAGAGGAGATGTTGCATAATGTAGCTTCTTATTGCACTTCTTTACTTACATTGCATTTGTCTGTTGTCTGTGCATATCTTTATGCGAAGCACTTTGGTCGGCATTGTGTTGTGTGGTATAAAGTATAAGGGGAACTGACACGGATACTGACAATGACATGTGTTGCTAGGCGCAAATTAGTTTTTTAATCAACTTGGTGTCGAGCTTAATTTAAGACAAAACAAAGGTTGAAAATATCCATTATCTTATTTGTGCTTATGTTTTTAATAGAACCCAAATTTATATGAAAACTGTTCAAGTCAGGCGACTCCAAATTGCTTTATGACTGTACAGATTCATTAACCAGGCTTCGCACTACCTGCACTCATTCACCAATTCACGCATTGATGGTGGCAAGCTACATGTTAGCCAAAGTGGGACTGGGACACGCTGACAAAAGTAAGGCTGTAATAAAAAGGGAACTGTTGGGCCATCTGACTGCCTTCAGCAAGCCATGCAGATGAAACATCTTGCAGAGGATGAAGGACAAACTCCTCCATCCCATGTCACTGTCGCCCAAAAAATAGAAGGAATACTTTCAACAAATTTAGACAAATAGTATCACAGAGATGGTGTTTGATGTAATCACTGACAGTAATACAATAATAAAGTTAATTAAAAAAAAGATCTTTATGTAAATCTAAGGTGTAAATAGCCATTTAACAACTATTTTTTTCAGATAAAAAAAAGGCATGTTATGAAAGAAAGTAAACTCTGGGCTTTGTTTTTAATCATTATCCCTATTTGAACCTATTTACTCTCTTAAATGTGACATTATGTTTGTTGTTGTTTGCAGATGAAGGCAGCGGTAATGGGGTCAATTCATTATCAGAACGAGCTTCACTGCCTGGACATTCGGAAGTAAGTAATAATGCAATGGAAAGGTACCTTGGGGACAACTAGAGTTAGAGAGTGGGAAGGGTTTTCATTAAAAACAAAGTGTTTGTTGGATAGCTTAGTTAGTCAGGGAGAGGAGAAGAATCTTCTTTCCACAGTAGGTACACTATTAAGTGGTAACAACTCTATTGTATATAATTTTTTTAAAGGCTATTCACTTTGTATATAATTGTTGTATATAAACGTATATTATTTGTTTAAAAGCAATTGAGAATGATTTGTTTGAGCAAATTCTGGACTTTTACTTTAGAGGTCACAGCTCCTTGTTTCTCTGCTGTGAAAAGCAACTATAGAATGTGAAGTTTCCATTATAGAGATACCATGATCCAATACCCTAACCAGTGGCGGTTCTAGACAAAAATGTTCCGGGGGGCCAGGAGGGGCCCCGCGTGTTTCCATGGGGGCCCAGAAAAGCTTGAAATAAAAAACAGAGCAAAGGATTCAAATATATTAAGATAGCTGCATGAAGTGAAATTAGGTTTAATTAAATTCCATGTCTTATTAGGTCATCATACATTCAGAATTCAGAAATTTTACATATTTTTTACTTAATTTAAGTTAAAATTACAGTTTTCCATAAAATCTGAATTAGAACTCAAGAAAAACTGATACATTCAGCTGTAAAAATTAGAGTATTTTCTTTTTTTTTTGTTTAAAAAAAACATTTAGCAGATGAAAACTGGGATCCTGTCTCAATTCCACTGAAGCAATCACCTTATTGTTTTTAGATAATTAAACAGAGTTTGTAAAGAAAAAAAAAAGAAATAGATCCAAAGGACCTATCATTAACCGTGACTGTGACAGCGCATATCATCATTAGAATTTCTCGAGTATTATGTCTAGAGTACAGGGGCCAGGACATGGTCTACAGGGGCACTGGCCCCCTTTGGACCCTGTCTAGAACCGCCCATGACCCTAACTGACCAATTATCTGAATTGGATGAATGAGGCGGATCCAGTCATTTCTTTTTTTTATTAATATTATGCTCAGAATTACAGATACAGGGATCTAATTACTTAAATTCTAAGTTTATAACTTTGTTTACATCATTAGAGCACACACAGCAGTTATTCATAGTTTATGTGTGTGCCCATTTTTTACCTTTTAGCCTTTTGCTCAGATGGTGTGAGACACAGTCAGTCATTTAACAGCCACATCAAATCGGTATTTGTTATAGGATGATTTGCTCAGTCCAGGTATCGGTACTGGATGGAATTTTAAAAAGTGGAAGGGTACATCTGTAGTTTAGGTCCTTATTGCTTAGCAACAGATTTGTCTATCAGATTTATCTTCCTGCGCATTTAGGTGAATAGGAATTTTTTTTTTATATTTGAAATTCAACTCTTGTTAAATCTAAAATGAATCTTTCATGCTTCCTGACAACAACATCTTTAGTGTATTTGAAGCATTTTATTCCCTTGAGTCACTCAGAAGTCAGTCAAGGAAAGACATGGCTTTAATTGCTGAGTCACAAGACGTTTCGATTCTCAAAGAACTCTTTTTTATAGCTAATCAGTTTCAGTTAGACAATAATAAACTTTTGCTGCTCAAGCTTGTGTCTCCTGACACTTTTTTCGTTTTCCTGTGGTATTTGAGAGAATCTGATTGAGGGGCGTTTTTAGTATGTGCAGTATACAAAATAGTATACAATATATTTTACTCTCTTAGAGACTCTAGGGCTAAATACTTGAATTATAAATAAATAATAACACTGTAGTAGATGTTAATAATCATAACCACACCCGGTTATTAGGAAGACAGTTAGTGGATGTCAGGAACTGATAAACAAACTGGGTGGAGTTTAGTTAACTGCTCCATAAGGTTATTTTAGGCATAAAAATGGACAACTCTATCAATGACCTGAATTCAAAAACCAGTGAACAGAAAATCTTGGTGCATATTTCAAGATATCCTGCTCTCAAAATAATATATTTGAAGTTTACAAATATCTAAAAGATATTCAATGAATCATTCTTGTTTAAGATCACTTCCAATTTGCATGACTAAAGCATGAATAAGAATTTATCATAGTGTTTAACTATGAATGCAAGCTTTGTATTTTTTTGATGATATTGTTTATTTTCTTCAAATTAATTCAAAGTGAAGGTTTTCATACATTTTAAAAAACATCTTTCTCAATTTCTTGTATTTTTAGCTGCTGTAATGCAGCATCGGTTTCAAACATTAACCCTTATGTTGTATTTAATCTCCAGAATACAATTTAGGGTTTAAGTAGTATAAAACTTGCCATAAAAGGGATTTTCAACACATTAAATGTTTTTTTGCTCTACCTGAATGTATTTTTGTGTAATTGCAGGCACTACAGTGTTTTGTGTTTTCCTGTCTGTGATGAGCTAAGCAGTAAGGACATTCAGGCACAGGTGTATGTCAAAAAAGGGTTGTTTTAATTAACCCAAAGAAATATAAAAGTCCAAAGATGGATCCAGAAAAGAGGTCAAAGGAACCAAAACTAATTAAACTATCTGTAATAGAACATAACTCAAACAAACTGACCTCCCTGCCCACTGAGAAAAAGGGGAACTTAAATGATCAGTCCACAAAAGAAACACATGAGGCAAAACATACAAAAACGTAACTAAACCCCCTCCATAGCATTAATATGGTCCATACCATAGCATTGGTATGGTCCAAATCAACTCAGCCCCTTGGCCACATGTTGGTTCCTAATCCAAGGGACTGGAGCAACTGCAAAACTGAAACAGAAAAAAAAAATGAAACACAATCATAACAAAAACAGGGTCAACTAAAGAGTGCACACTAATTTTGGAATATAGTGTAGAGGCGATCAATAAATTTCAAATAATTTCAAATGAATCTTTCATGCTTCCTGACTACAACATGTAAATCAATCCTTGTATGAAAAATCTAAATGACATAAATTTTGTTTGTTACCACATCTGTGTGGTTGTAAATCCAGCCATCACACTGTTGGTCTTTGTATGTTTCACAAACACCTGTGAACTGATGTTCACTACTAATACTCTTTGGCAAACTTACAGTTCTATAAATGCACACACAGTTAGGTTATTTATGTTAGTGTCTTTTGTGACTTATTTATTGTTTCTCTTTCAGACTGAAAGGCTGCGACCAAACAGAGACACGGTGTTCTTCAGGGACGGTGTGCGCAGAATAGACTTTGTTTTGTCTTATGTAGATGACAAAGATGAGAGGAAACAGGTAGGTTTCAGAAAATTGCTTCATTGACTTGACTACTTAAATGATCTGCAGATCTGCCTCACTGTGATACAGTCAACATGATTTCATAATCTAAACCCAGAGCTTGTCTGTTCAAAAGGGGAAGTAGGATTCTGGAGTTTTTCCGGAGTTTTTATGAAGGCATGTGATGAACGCTATGAAGTAATGTTTTTAAATATTAAAACCATCAGATGATTCCTGGTTTCTCTACCTTTCTAGATTTTTTTTAAACAAAGAAAAGTCACAAAAATTGACTAATTATCAACCCTTTGTCACATCTATGGTTGACAGAAAGAAGAGAGCATAATTTTACTTAAAAGCAAGGAAAGATATTAGACCTAATTATAATCAATAGTTGTTACATTGGTAACATTTAAATACTCTAAAAATATCCAACCCTTTTTTGTGACCTTGTTAGTGTATACAGTAGGTGCCTTTGAACAGTCAATTTGTAAATAGTTTTTTTTCCACCCTTTTTCAACTTATGCGCTGCAGGGATAGGAGTGGATGGCAAGTGATGAGAACAAACAGTTTAGAGAATAAAATGCCTTCAGGGACAATGAAAACAAAAAAAGAATTACTCTGAGTTCATTTCTGTGCAATTGCTTGTTTCTCCTGCCACCAGTTGGCCAAAAATAGCTCAAGTGAAAACAGAGAAGAAGGCTCATTGTCTGCACTTTTTCACCTCTAGAATGAAGAGATAGTAGTTAAATGTTTACTTTAGAGTTTTATTAATCTTCTGTTCTTTTGGAAATATCATGGCAGCCCCTGGCAACAGCGACTTGATACAGCTCTCTACAATTCCACGAAAGGAAATGGAAATGTCATGAGAGCTGTACAAAACTAAATTTTGTTTTGTATACACTCTGTGTATACAAAATGACAATAAAAATGGTCTAAGTCTTATGAAGTCATTTTAAAGTTTACTTTGGACTCTGGCAGCAATTTATTTCTAATTCAGTCCAGGCCCTAGCCGAGAAAAGTTTTATTTTCTTTGTGACTGAGAGTAGAAAGTAAAAACAACTTAACAGTGAAAAGATTCTTAAAATAAATGATTTATTTAATATTCTGAGCCTATTTACAGCTTATCTTGTAAGTCGTTTTAAACAAGAGGATGTTATAAGCAACACTCATAGAAGTGTGACATAGGATTTATATATAGATGTATGTTAAATATTCATTTACCCTTATTTCTAATAAACCTAAAAGCAGTTTGTAGGATTAGCAACATGAGATTGGCCAAGAAATTCCCTATTAATTCCTCATTAGATTTTGTAATCTAAAGAGCCAAAACACTATTTTAAAAAAAATGAAACAGTCAATTCAAAATGGTTAATTGTAGGAAGGAATAACCTCTAGGTGTAGATATATTTAACTGAGCAGCTCAAAGTAGGGTTACAGTTTTTTTCAACTCTTCATAGACTATATGATAACAGACATTGCCACGATTAAATCAACGGGGGGAAAAAATCTGTAATAAAAGTGACATTTAGTTTTATCTTCCCTGTAATATTTCATTTTAAGTTAGTCCAACTAATTTATATTCAGAATAAAAACCTCAGCTCAGAAAATGTACACTTTATCAGTGTTAGTTGGACCACCCAGTGTGGTCCAACTAACACTGATGGTGCAGTGGGGTAATGGCAGGCTTTGTACATTTTGTGTATTTCCTCACTATTATTACCAATATTGTCCAAATATGGTGGATTTTATTAATTAAATTGTGTTTATCCTCAGGAAAGGAGAAAGACCTTTGAGGCTAACCTTGCAAATGAAGGTCTGCATCTGGAAACAGAGGACAAATCGGTAAGGACTCCCAGCTTTGGAGTAGCAGCGCCATCTAGTGAATATTTGTGGTGGCGCATGAAAATCAACTGAACCCTGTCTTACAGGGATTGTTCAGTTTCTAACTTTGCTGTGCTTCAAAACAAGCTCCCCTGTGACATGTTTGCTGTTGTAATCATTCCTCTATCAGGAGTCCAAAGATCAGAAGACATACTTTTTGAAGATCCACGCTCCATGGGAAGTTCTCGCCAAACATGCTGATATCCTGAAAATTAAAGTCCCCTTCAAAGAGAGTGACATACAGCATGGTCAGGACGTCCATCTGGACTGGCTGTCCTGCCCTTTCCGCCTGCCTGACCACATCATGCATCCACAGACGGACTACTTTACATGCCCCTTTGACAAGAATAAGGAGGACTTCTTCCTAATCAACGACAAAGACACTTTCTTTCCTCCATCTATGAGAAACAGAATTGTAAGTATTTAAGGAATTTTTTTTTTTTTTTTGCAGTGATACATTTGTGAAATCTTAGTTAAGATTTGTATTCTGATTTCTAACCTTTCATAAAATGTCTGCCTTGCTTTAAGGTGTTTTATATCCTAGGTCGTGTCCCGTACTACAGCGAGGGCCGGACCGACAAAGAGAAGACGGGTATCAAACGATTACTCAGCAATGGGACCTACACTGCAGCCTTCCCCCTCCACGATGTAAGGCTGATTATTTCAAATAGTAACTTCTAGATGTTTTGTTTTGTTTCTTTGTTTTTTCCCCATCTCTTTCTCCAACTGTTTTATTGACACCACCTTACATATTTGTACTGTATAACTAGCTCATGTAAAACATTTAGATGTTTTATTTTAGACTTTCAGCCAAAGTTGCAGCTTTTTTGCAGATCTTCTGTTAAATATCCCTAAAATTAAGGCCTTCAAAGGTTTTCTACTTATTGTTTATACAGTTCTTTGATCATTCACAATACTTTTACTTCTTAAAATCAGAAACTAATATAAGAGCCATTTTTGTGCATAAACAAGGTATTTGACTTTGGATTTTATTGCTAACATTGTAATCAACAGCAAGTATAAAGTGGCTCTGAAAATTTACAAATTCCTGTCTAAAGATGTTTCTTTCCAATGTAAAAAATTTGACTATTGAGAATTATTAAAAATTTGTTCATATATATTATTATTATTGTTATTATTATTAAGAAAATGCAAAAAATTGTTTAATTAGGCTTCAATTAAATAAATGTTTAGTTGATTTTGATAGATGCAGATAAACTTGGAAGTTGAAAATAAAACATCTCTTCAGCTTTGAAGCAGACACTGAGAGGTTTTGAATGTTTTAAGAAAAGTACTAGTATTGCACTTTTTCCACCCCTGTCCTCATGTGCCTCTGTTTGATCTAAAGCAAAGAAATTAATTATTTTTATCTAAAAAATATCAGGCATCTAAATGTAGTGAATGTTTGCACCATTACTAAAATGAGGAGTGGTGGCCTAGTGGTAAGGTCATTGTGTTTGGAATCCAGAGGTTCTGAGTTTGAGCCCCACTCCCAAAGACATCCACTCTGGGTCTGTGGGCAAGACCCTTAATCCCCAGGAGCCACACAATGACAGCCCACTTCTCCCCAACGGGATGGGTTAAATGCAGAGAGTTAATTTCGTTACTCTGTACTTGTGACAGTGGAATGACAATAAGAAAATCTGAAAAAAATGGAAGAGTTTTAAAATTAAGTTTTAATGTGCATCTGTTTGCAGTGTCGATACTGGAAAGCAGCAAGAGATGCAGAGTGTGAGAGTGAGCGCTTCAACCTGTACAAGCACTGGGCGAGGTTTCTCTGCTTTTACAAAGAGCAGCCTCTAAACCTTATCAAGTAAACAGGCAGTAGTTTGTTTAATTTCTCACTAGTATAGTTGTGCATATAACCTAGCCGTTATCTATATGTTTGCTTGTTTGTTTCTTGCAGGAAGTATTATGGAGAAAAAATTGGGATCTATTTTGCTTGGCTTGGGTTCTACACTGAGATGCTGTTCTTTGCAGCTGTCATGGGTGTTATATGTTTCACCTATGGATTGCTCAGCTATGACGACAACAAATCAAGGTTATTACTACGTAGGAAGAACAAACAGAACACGTTTTAAATTAGTTTACCTCAGCCGCTTCACTTTAAATTCAATCTTTTGCCAGTCAGTAACTTGACTCACCGTGTAACCATTTTATCCATTTTTTTAATCCATTTTGTGCCTGCAAACAAACCTCTTTGCACCTGTATATCTAACTATTGTGCGTGTATTTATCTTTTATTATGTAAATATTTTAAATAAAATTATTTAATATGAGATTTTGATTTTATGAATATGAGTTTTTGTTTTTGTTTTAGAGTTTTCATATTATTTTATTTTGATGTTCCCGCGGGTCCTTAAAAAGTCTTAAAAGGCATTGAATTCTTCAAAATAAAACTAAGGCAGTGCAAATGTAACGAAAATTGGCTATCCAGCCAAGAGTTTTCTCCATGGGTAAAACCAGTACCAGGGAACATACATGAGGCACAGTGTATTTTGTGCAAGAAGCGATTCAAGCTCGGAGCAATGGGAATTAAGGCAGTGGAGTCACACACGAAGCGCGAAACACAAAGCGTCAAAATCGAGTTACCGAGAAACAGCCGGTATTTCTCAGTTT